ATTAAAGGAATTGGGCTTCTGGGGGAGGGGAGGGGTTAAGCAAGGGGGCGTGTAGGACCCGGCTCCCCAAAGCTTAGCAACAGCCAGCCAGGAGAGCTTTGCAGCCTCCCAATGGTCAGCTGATTGGGGCAGAGAACTCTGAAAGGACCCTGGAAACGGTGCCTGCTTCTAGGCCGCCTGGGGAGCCAGGCCAAGCGCTGTGGTTCCCGTCGGGGCAGGATGCGGGGAGGAAGAGAGTTCTGCAGCATCCCCACGGCCTGTCCTAAGGGCGAATGACTGTGGAGGTCCTACTGCTGCTGTCATAACCACCCACCCCATCTATGGTGGTTTTGAACATCTGTTAAGTGGCCTGGCATTTCTCCAGGACTGCTTGTATGCTCAAAAGCCAACTGGTAACCAGTGCAGCTCTCAGAGTTATGTGGTTAAATTGATTGTCATACGTAACTCCCTAAACAACTGCATTATGGGCATTGTAGTTTCTGAATGGTCTTCAAGTGCAGCCCAGACCAGAGTGGGGATTTTTAAAAAACTAGATTACCTGATACCTCCCCAACTAGGATTATTTTAATTCAGAATCTACCGTAAGTGTTATGGCATAAGAAGTGATGACACCTTAAGCTTCATTCTTAGGATTCTTCATATTATTTTGCATTACAGGTAGGAGAATTTGATTACTCTCTAAGGGAGTCTAGGTACTCTGCACTATCAATACAGCACGAGGGGGAAAGCTGGTTCTTAGATTTTCTGTACTTAAATAAAACAAGGCGGTATTTTAGGTTACCAGAGCAAAGTACTTTTCGCTAACTGCTAGTACTGAAACCCATTAAATCTTCTCAGATTAAGACTCTCCACCAACTAACAATTATGTTATGAATGTTTGCAATAGAGAAGGAAAAAACCCTAGGATTTTAAATTGACCATATTTCAAAAAGAACTATGTGATTTCTTCAATGCATTGGCTTCCACTAAAATGAGGGACTGGTTTTGTTTTTGTTATTTGTTTTTTGAGAGAGAAGGTAAACTATTTGTTATTTAATTATTTGGCTGAGGTTTTTTTGTTTTTTAAATAGTCCATTACAAGCTACAGGCTCCCACTTCTCTGTTTATTATAGGTGTTCTAGCTGGTCTCTTGATCTGAGATTCAACAATAGGAACTGGGGATGGAAAAGGATTTGATCCACAATTCATGAAGTGTGAGCCGTAGTGGGTTGACATTTGCACGTGACCTATAGACCAGCATTTTCAAGACTATAGAAATGAGACTAATGATGCCTGGTGCTACTGAACCTTTCTGTTTTAGAAGACAAGTTGATAAAATATGTCTTAATGGTTCAGTATTTAAGGATTAAACTGAACTATAGATTATGCATTTTGCTCATTAAGAAGTTTTCATTTTTTCCCCCTTTTCCATAGTATATGAAGATGATGGGTGTGAATTCCAGCAGTCACTTCTTCGCTTGGTTCATCGAATGCATCACATTTCTCCTGATTACTAACGTATTTCTTGTTTTATTTCTCAAATTTGGGAATATCCTTCCAAAAATAAATGTTGTGATCTTATTCCTGTACGTTCTGGACTACAGCTTCTCCATCATAGCCATGAGCTACCTCATCAGCGTATTCTTCAACAATACAAACATCGCTGCTTTGGTTGGCTGCCTGGTTTACATCCTGGCCTTCTTCCCCTTCATTGTCCTACTAGTGATTGAGAATCAGATGAGCTTCACCGCCAAGAGCCTGCTGGTAAATATCTGTCCTTGTATATGTTCTCTAGAAAAAATGGGGAGTTTACAACTAGACTTTTGTGAGGGAAGCAAATCTACCTATGGATTTGGGCTCGCTTTGTCTTGCAGCCACAGACAATACTAGCATGACCATTAGAAACTGTTTTTTGGTATGTCAAGTAATGTCCCAGCCATTTTAATTGAATATGGCACTTCACTGCTTGAGATGGAAATTGTTAGGATGCCTGAGGTGTCCATTTGACTTGCCGTGTACTGAATCTGGGTCCTTAATTCCACAAAGCGTATCTTCTGTGATAGTCCTGCATTCATCACAACTGTGATCCTTACTCACTGGGCACCTAATATGGAAATGTTTAAAAAATTATTCCATGGATCAACAAGTTATTTTGTGAACGTTCTGAATAAGCATTCCTTTCACAAATTGTTTGAATTTAATATTAAATTCATCTGTTCTAAATCAAATTAAAATTTGGTTTTCAACAAATGTTTACTTTTTAAACATGCAGTAGAATAATGATGAGTTTAGATACATCAGCCTGATTAAATCTGGGCTGGATGATGAAACTTATTAAAATAAGTTAAAATAAAAATAAATAAGCTTAAATAACAACAGCTTAAAATAAACCATCGCCTCTGACTCAGTTACCTAAAAAACAGTTGTGAACATGATTCTTGTTGGAAAGATGGGACCAGTGAGGGGTTTTAATTTATTTTACTACTGGTTTGCTCGTGCACATGAGCAGACGCATCCTGGCAGGTGGGCGGAGTCTCTCACCGCCACCACTACAGGTTCAACTGATCCAGGGCAAACTGGCAGAAACCCACCTCTGGATGGGACCTAAATTAAAATCCATAACTACTAATGAGTTTGGAGATGTGATTAAATAATCAAACCACCACAACTAGAGCCAAATCATCCTTGCGTTCTATTACTGCAAATATTTCAGTTAGTTACCTTTCTTCCTGTTTTTTCCCCAGAGCCTTTTATCTCCAACTGCGTTCAGCTATGCAAGCCAGTATATTGCCCATTATGAAGAACAAGGCATTGGTATATCTATCTATCTATCTATCTATCTATCTATCTATCTATCTATCTATCTATCTATCTATCTATCTATCTATCTATCTATCTATCCATATCTATCT